TTATAATTTTTCTTAATTCTGGCACGGTTTCTGGCAAGATGAATGGATCAGGAAACGAACCACAAATGGCGTTATTATGATGTTAGCAACGGATATACCATTGCCCATGGGCTGTACCCCCTGTGTGGGGGTGGTGAGGGGGCTCCATTTACCTTCAACCATCAGGAATATATAGGAACTTCCTCAACGGCAGGTTACCGTTCGGAAAGGGAACATATTTCATATGATCTATAGCACATTTTTGCTACAATTGATTCGTTATAGTTAAACAAAATGGTATGATTCAGAACGCCTTCTTCAGAATGTCGTGAAGGTAATCGATTCGTTTTGGTGCCACAAATGAAGCTTTAGAAACTCCACGAAGAGAGAGAGAGAGAGTTACTAGACTACTAGATGTTTTCGTCTTGTTTTTACCCAGGCTAATGAAGCTGAATTTATTGCCAAAGCATTATGGACATAAACACAGTTTGCACATACTCGTTTTATGGCCAACAACGGCGAATAATGTGGCTGAGAGGCAGCCAAAATCGGCTAATGTATGCAAACCTACATCCAGGCGAGAGGAAGAGACAAAGAGGGAGAGTAAGAGGAGGAGGGTGCCAACGAGAGGTTTCGGGCTTGGCATGCCGAAAAAGTTGGTAACATCATTTCGTTGTTGTCTGCTCTTGTGGCCCCCGCACACACACACACACAAACATACATGCAGACACAAAATGGATTTTGTCTGCATTAAAATAAGTTCTAGATAAAGCGAGGAAATTGCTTTTGAATATACGATATACGTTATACGATATAGGAGTACGAGTACGAGTATATTTTTGATGGCAATTCGTTTGCATAGAAAAATTGAGACATATTCTGTGGCATTTTTCAAGTCGTTAAGCCGCTGCATGTGGAGCTGTCGAAAGTCGTTTGCCACTCGAGACTTATTCATTGCGTATACGCTGTTTTCCCAATTGTAACGCCAATAGCTGCTCGAACCTGCTCCTTAAAGTGTCATAATATATTGTAGCATGAGACCAGAAAGAAGGGTGTTTAAATTACTTATATTTTGACGGATATGAAGCTGTGGATGGCTCCACTTCCGCTCCACATTGATGTGCTGCCAACTGTCTGGAGTGCCAATTGGGGTGGCTCCCACATTGGACCACATAAATCTGGACCAAAGACAAGACATAAATCTACATTTGGCTGCAAAGAAATCAAATTTTCCAAGCACGCACAATGAGTTTTTTGTTTCATTCAGCGGAATGGGGCGGTCGTATCTTAGTCATAGTTAAACCCACGCCTCGGCACGGCTCTCTGGCACTGGCACTGGCACTGGCACTCTGGCATTGGCACTCTGGCACTCAATAAGTTGGCCTTTCCAGAATCCCGAATCCTATCTGGGTCAGTTGGTTAAGCCTGAATTATGAGGATTCTCGGCGGCTTAAAGAGTTTGGCAAATATCATTGTAAAAATGAAATGAAATATCTCAACTGTTGAGGCTTATCGTAACCTTGACATCCCAGGCCCACTTCTAGGCCGGATGGCCGCACACGCACACATAAATAATTAAAATGACCTCATAATGTTTCGATTTTTCCCCTCTTTTTTCGGTTCTTTTCTTTTCTGTGTGTTTTTTTTTTTGTTTTTATTGTTTTCTCTGGGCTCTGTGGACTTTTTGGCGCTTTTTCGACTTTTTGCCGCAGTCATTAATGTAATGGTCTGCATTATTTGCCTACATTCAGAGGTTTAGGAGCTACGACCCCACTCGTATCTCTCATTTTTCCTACTTGACCCTTAGAACACATTTGCGAATGGCACGCAAGACACGACGCTGGATACCACTCACAACCATATGTACATACATGCTTACGGGTATGTATGGATGTACGGATGTGTGGGCCAGAGTTATTTGCAAATCAAGTGGGTCCATGGCTGAAGCTCTTCCATCAGCTGATACTCGTACGTCTGGCCTTGTCCTTGGAGTGTATTTTCCCTGTGCTTTTAGCCTTTTATTGCTGGTCACTTATTTGCGCTCGTTCAATGGCGAACTTTTCTTTGCGTTTCATTTTTTGATTTTCTTTTCTTTGATCTGCTGCTGCTTTGCTCAGCAATTTTCGCCGCCTGGCATTTTCGATGGGCAGTCATTCATGACGTTGCTCCGGCGTAATCCTCGACTGCCGCTTTGCCTGCCAAATCGTCTGTGCCATCAAATTAAACGACAACTAAATTGGCGCACATTTTGTGCTATTTGGCAGGCTTTTGTCTGCGCTTCAAGGCTTACATAAGCAGACCACGAGACCAAAAAAAAGAACCCACCATCCAGGCAGCCAGCCAGCTAGCCAGCCAGCCAGCTAGCGAAGAAAACCGGCAAGAAAGGCAAATAAAATGCCAGCAATGACAACAGCTGACATTGATTGGGGTTATGACAGAAGGGTGGGGGGGTGGCAAAGCGGATCTAATAACCGTAATAATAATAAGTAGCTGATAATTTGACACTAAGCCACAGGGGCGTATGCGTAATGCGACAGGAAGGAGGCCAATGGCAATCGCAACTGGCACAAATCATTGGACTTAACGCAACGATACTCGTACTGCTGTGGATGTGAGTATCTTGTATCTTGTAAAGGTTGAAGAAACTATTTTCGATGGACACACTCACACACACAGCTACACACAGCTTCCCCTGTCACTTTCCATTTTAATTTTCCCGCATCGCGCCACTTGTCGGCTGCAATTTTCCCCCGGACTTAATTAGTTGCTGTCACACTTGCTGGCAGCCAGTTCGGCAAGACGGAAAACCCACGAAACAAGCACAGCACAGCAGAGAACAGCACACTCCAGTAACAGAGCAACCGGCAGCTCCAGCTACAGCTACAGCTACAGCTCCAGCTTCAGCTCCCTGGGTGCCCATAGAAAACTTTCAAAATAGATTAAATTTGTTCCTTGACGAAGGTGCAAGGGGGAATCTCACCGCAGCAGCTTCCATCTATTCCCCCCCTCCCCCGAAAACCCGAAAACCCAAAAACCCAAAAAGAAAGTGCAGAATGGCAAGAAATGGCTAAATTGAGTGCACACAAAAAGAAGGGGAAAGGGAGAAGGGGACGGGAAGGAGAAGGGGATAGAAGCGAAAGATAGTTGCTGCACAAGTGCAGTTTTCCTGTTGCAGCAGCTTTCCTGCTGGTCAAACATAAAAAGGATAACACATGGAGCTGGGCCCAGAAAGAGAGCCAATAAGATAGTAGTCCCCGGCAACAGGATGAACAGTTTTCCTATGCCCTGGCGCCTGAAGCCAGCTCGTCCTGGTCGCCCCGTTATGACAACACAAAAGGATGAGCCAACACAAAATCCCAAAAAGGATGCAGAGCCAAAGAGCGAGCCAGCGCCAGAGCCCAAGGCGCAATCCCCATGCTCTATGCTGTGGACAACCAAACTAAAGGATGGCCCATCTAGAACTCAAACTGGAGCTGGATGCGCTGCTCTGCTCTGCTCTGGTTTGCCTTTGGGCCATTCAATTGTCCGCTTGATCCCCGGCAAGGAGCCGCCGCCCCATGAACCTGTTCTTGTTTGCCCGCTGGCCATTTCATTTCATTCTCTTTGCTGTTGATTTTCCATTTTGGGGTCCATCAAGGGGTGGATCCTGCTCAGTGTTTAATGTTCTCGGCATTCAGTTATTCGGTTTTCGGTTACCTGTGCGCGGCAAAGTAGGTCAGAATATTCAGCCTGCCACCTATTTGTGGAACGTGTGCTCTGCTGTTTCCCAGAGATATTACGCATACGTCAACGTTATATTTTTTGTTCTTGCTGTTATAATATCATAAATTGAATGTGCAACAACATGGCACCCATCACAAAACAATGGCAAACAAACACAGGGAAAACAATCGGGTATGCCACATATACATAGGAGCGTCCGGTTCGGTTCAGTCCTCTGTAGGCGGGTGCCACTGTCCCACACTGTCCCACACTGTCCCACACTGTCCCCCGCTGTATATTAATAAAACCAATTTCACACGGCAGAATTTCGTTTGACAGAAAAAGGAATCGCACCAATTTCATGGCACAATCAACCACAATTTATGCAGCAGCAGAAGCAGCAGCAGCAGCTAGGAAAAAGCACAAATGCCTGCCAAACGAGGAGCGAGAGTATACGACTATCAGGTATCCTTTCGGTCAGGACCAAATTGATTCTGCCATTAATCACAAGCTATAACTGATATTCAACTCTTTTATGCATAGATCCATTACACATAGGAAGATAAATACGCATGTAGAGAGTGAGAGACGGATGCGAATGGGAGATTGCATTTGCAAAAATTCACAATCATCCAACGCAATTTATCGTGCAGTAGTGCACGAGCCATAATGCAAAAAAAAACGTAATGTTGGATACGAAATGAAAGCCAAACATTGCAACGTCATTTCACCTGTGTGCACAACCCCTACATAAGCACCTGGGCGTGTGCCCGACACCCCTGCACCCTGCACCGCATCCCTTCCTACGTCCCGACGTAATTTGGCCGGGAAATTCAATTTAGCGCAACGCGGTTTATCTGAAATGAGAAGAAATCGGCTTAGTTGTTGTTCTTTTTGCGGCTGAACCGTTCGTTTATTGGTCTCATTCCAATCATTCGCACAGAATCGGCCAAAAGTTTGCTATAACATGCTCCCAAAACAAGTTTTCAGCGCGGTACACCATGACGTATGCGTAATATATGCTTCCATTTGATGGTAATCGTATGTGTAATATTTGTTTGCCCCACAGCGCGTATGTTTAATATTTGTTAGCGCTTAATCGTTGGACAGACACCATGAGGGGTAATATTTGCTGCTCTTAATCGGCGCACATAGATACAAATGTACATACATTTGTACATATGCATGCATGTACAAGTGTATGTGTTATATTCGTTGCACTTGAGCTGCAGCTCCGGTAAATTGCCATAATTAAGGTAACCGTAAATGAAATAACATGATGCTTAGCAGTACCTGCCGACACTCTGGTCGGGACTTACCTAATTAGCGACAGGATTTTGAGCCAGCACAAAGTAGCTGCTTCTTCTTCCACGGTAGTTACTGTTGCTTTTGCTGTGCAGCTCTGGGGCCCAGACACTGGGGCATGCCGCTCTGGTAGTAGCCTAGCGCGTCGACACAACTGCCACACTGCCTGCCACGCACAGACGGACGGACCTAGCCAACGTTCATTTGGCCCTTTGGGCTATTGTTGTTTGTGGTCCTGTGTTTGTAGTTGTTGCCACGCATTTGTTGGTGTAGTTGTTGGTGTAGTTGTTGTTACGTTGTTAGCCAACAATCTGGCAACGCCTTTCGCCTCGCTTACAATGTTATTTGTTGTTTTTGTTTTTGTTTTTGCTTTTTGTTGCTTCTTACACAGCTTGTTGCAACTTATGTGCAATTGCCGTTGGCTGCACGGCGACGGAGGGTGGCGGGGACTGTGGAGTGAGTGAGTGAGAGTAGAGAGGGCTGGAGAGGGTTGGAGAGGGTTGGAGAGGGGGTTTAACCAAAAGTTGCAAGGACACGCATCGCCTGACGAACGACATACACACACACACGCACACATATAGGTCTTTATACACACTCAGAGTGCGGCGGCGACGAGACGTACGACACTTTGAAATGTTTTTGCTGGTGTTGGTGCTTTTGAAATTACCCCCCTTCCCCCCGGCCACCCAGCAGGAGCAGGAGCAGCAGCAGCCACACCAGCTACAACAACCACTGGGCGTTGGGGCGTGGTGTGTCGTGGCGCGGACCCCCTCGAGTTTTATTTTATTTTAGTTCTTTCTTTTGCCTTTATTTAGCCAACTTTTGACGCTTTGCTTTGCTTTACTTTGCTTTGCATTCCCTGTGTTCCCCTCTTCTGCTGTTCTACTGTTCTGCTCTTTATGCTCCTTCTGTCATTCTTTCGTTTTATGCTTTTCGCGTTCGCTTTGTTTGTGTTCTTTCAGGTTTTATTTCTATATTTGTTATGGTTCTTCGTACTTATTTTTTATGATTGTTTTGTTGCCCAGCCCCCCGCCTAACAGCCCATTCCTATTCCTATTCCCATTCCCATTCCCATTCTCCTCTTCTGTTCTCCGTTTGTCGCCGCTTACTTTGAAGTTTTAACTGCCCTGCGATGTATGCTATGCTGTACCTTCCTTAAGTTTCTGGTTTGCTTTCCTTTTCTCTGGCTTTGACTTTGACTCACAGTCGATGCTCTTTTTTGGCGCCACTGCTGGGCCACAACTTTTGTATTCTTTTCTTTGGTTTTCCCTTCGTTTGGTTTGGTTTTTGGGCCAAGACAAGTAAGTGATGGGCAGCAAGCTGCTTATGTAAGTGGCAGCAATTTGCCAAACAGTTAGTTGTTGAGTGGGCAAACTGGCAAAGAAGAGGGTCCGGGGTCTGGGGTCTGGGCTCTGCTCTTCCTCCAGGTGGACACTTATGTAAACTGATGTAAAGCTCGGACAGGATAAAAGTCTCTGAGTATGACAGGCTGAGACTTGAAGAAAACTCAAACAAAGTTGAATGTGAAATGGAAAGAATTCAGAACAAGATTGAGTTTTATGGGCACAAAGTTGTGCGGGCAAAAGCGAAGAGAAAGGGAAAGTTGCAAGAAGAAAATATGGAAAACGTGTTCAAACTTCCACGAAAATGTAATATATTCCCACTCGAATATGTCTCTGATTCTAAGGAAATACTTGGTGCCAATATTTTGCACTATACATATATGTATTTCCCCAGGCCGATCCATATCGTGCGATGGCCATCGTTCGTTTTACATTCACAGATTCGCAGCAAATTCATTAATAAATCATTTCTCGTACTTTCTCCACATATATACATACATCCCATATATGTACAAAGATGCGGGCATACATATGTGTGTGTGAGAAGAAAATGCGATAAAGATCGTGTTTGTCTTTTGGCTGAATGAACTATTTTTATTTATTTATGCACTAGATTATTGCCAGGCGAATGCCCGTGAAAATAGTGCGATTAAATAAAATAAAATAAAATAAAACAAAAATAACTTTCACATACTGCAAGCATTCGGGCTTTTGCATTCAATTTGCATCACACATTTTTAAGTAATTACCAGAAAACGTTTTGCGGCACTAAAATTATTTATACGCTCCAACGCGTATACGGTGTGCATACGGTGCAATTTTTGGAAATTTATTATCAAGAATGCCATAAGGAAGGTCGCCCTGCCGTCACCTCCCTCCCCCTCCCCCTAAGGTGGCGCAGATGAGGCCCGTTAGAGCTAATAATTTATATATGCATGCACTCTTGCCTTATCTATTATCTATTTTCCTGGCAGACAATGTAACGTTGAAGAGGCATGAAAGAACTGGCCATTTTTCGCAGACTCTTTGGTGTGCGCGAAATATGTTAAAAATAAACCAAAGCAAAGCAAAAGGAACTGCAAAAATGCGAAGCACCAGACCAAAGCAAAACGGAATACGAGAGCGAATGAACAAAAAAAAGAGAGAAAAAAAATAAATGAATAAAACTGGCATGTGTACGTCGAATATTCAACAAGCGAGAGAAAAAAACACAAGGAACCCCCGACGAATCTTCACACTAAATTTAATTTAATTGTAGATTGTAACAACAAATTCGTCTGCCCGGTGGCAGATCTACAGCAGCGGTCACATTAATAGTAAGCCCAAAATAACTGCCTACGTATTTTCAAATATTCATTCATTGAGTGTCTACATCTACCTTTTTTGGAGTTTTCTATGGATTTTTATTGAAAAAACTCAAGATAAGGAATTGTTTATAGAAAAACTACTAATGCTGACCGCTACTGTATGAATAATGTAGTTTTTTGGGGACTGTTTACCATAACATTACTTCGAGGGCAGTGCCAGACAAATGCTTGTGTTTCAATGTTCAATGTCTGTCCTTAACACAGCATTGGAATGCTGGGAATTTCGCTACGAACGACATTTTTGTCTAGCAGCCAAACACGCCCAGAAATATGCAACACGTCCTGCCTGTCCCAGTGCCCCCTCAATATGGCCGCTCTTGCGGCTCCACCCAAGTGCACGCAATGTTAGAACCACGAACCCACGGACCCACGAGCCCACGGACCCACGACTGTGGGTCACATACTGGTATTCTCTTGGCTGGGGCTTTGGCTGTGGCTGGGGCTGACTCATAAGGCATTTCGTCTAATGATTGACTGACTGGATGACAGACTGATTGACTGACTGACTGACTGGCGGAGTGACTAACTAACTAACTAACGTGTGTGACTTTTCCCAGTTCTGGTCTGTTCTGCTCTGCTCTGTTCTCTGTTTTGGCTCGGCTTTCTCTGACTTTGCGTGTAGTTCGTAATTTAAGTAATGTGGGTCGCCCTGGTGGAAAGCTGAGCCCTGCGTATCCTTGTTGTTGCTAACGCGATTTACTTTTGAGCAAAACACGCGCCATGGCTCCACCATATCATACTATATACGAGTAGTAGCTCTAGCTCCCCTCAACCCACCCCCACCCCCACCAACACCCTAACTTTTGCGGTTCTAGCAGCCTAATTGTCATTGAAGGTAGCCCACCTAAGACATAAATTCAATTTCTTTCGGTTCGATGTGACAAGTCGTGAAGGAAGCAGCCCTGCCCTGCCCTGCCCTGCAATCCGTACCCCTTTTCTACTCTACTCTACTGTGCTGTGCTGCGCTTTGCTGCGATTCCACTGTGCTTCTTGTTGCTATTATTTTTGGATAGCCACCTTTTGGCGTCCGCCGTGCCTCGTGTTGCTTTCTCACGATATCGTGGCTGCCTTCTGCTGCTCCTACGCTCCTACGCCCCTAACATTTTCTTGTGGTTCTGGCTCTGGTTCTGGTTGTACCTCTGCCTGGTTCTTGTCTTCTTGGGCTGCCGTCTTGTGTGTCGGCTGTGTTACCTCTGTCTCGTCTCTATGCTGCACTGCGCGGCACCGCACTGCACCTTGACACTAATATTGAGCAAAGGAGAGGCAGAAGGAGAGCAAGTGCAACTAAAAATAGTCAGAGAGAGACCCGCTAAAGGCAAATTGATTTGGGTTTCGGGTGTGGGCACGGGCACAGGCCGGGCACGGGCATGGGTACGGATCTCTCACTTCCACCACTTAGCGCGGACACTTGGCGATTTTATTGTCATTTAAAAGTTATAATTGGTAATTGATGCCCGATGGGACTCACTGACTGACTGATTGACTGATTGACTGACTGACTGCTTGTGATATGATATAGTAAGTGGTCGTCTGGTGAGCTAATTTTAGGGGATTCAAATGATTGCAGTTGATTCTTGGGAGATTTACTCGGGGGAAATATAGATAGTTTTGGATTTACTTTATTGCAAGTATTTATAAGTAATTGAATTATGTTTTCTCTCTTGATCATGATCAATATTTATTTTATTCTCCAGTTTTATTGTATGTCCATGGGTTAAAGCTTGTTTCGACATTCGCACGTCTAATTTGTAATAACAGTATTTTTTTGAAGCCACTCGATCTTACATCGTTTATTGTGGTTCCACACGCTCATCCACCACACGCGCAGTGTGGCTATGGTACTACGGTACTGGTGGCGTTGGCTATTATTCCGGAATGCCCAGCGTACCCCAGCGTATGCACAATCCACCGTACACCGAACAAAAAAACCGACCCTAACACCAGAGCTTTACATAACTCACTAGCCGCTCACTGCACTCTCTCTCACACAGGAGCAGAAGCCCGGAGTTAACTGAACACGGACCTCGGTAGAGGCGAAGAGAAAGCACCAAAAAAAAAGAACAAGAAGTAGAATACGTTAAAAATTCAAAACACAAATGCACATTTAATTCCCGCACACAGCCGTTTCCATGAGTTTTTCAATCATTTCTTAGCACTTTGTTGGGGGCACACTCGGAACTGGAAGCTCGAAACCTGCGACCAGCAACCTGCAACCTGCAACCTGCAACCAGCAACCTGCAACCCGTTTGTCGTATGCATTTTAGATGCAAGTACTTTTCGTATTCACTCCTACGTTTCCTTCCTTAGTTCCTTACTCAGCTCTTACGCCTTTTACTATATATATAGTATACTATACTATATATATAGATATATGGTATGGTATGGTACGGTATGGTATGGTATGGTATGGTATAGATAGAGTCGATATTACTACGCTGGCTTATTGTTTTGTCACTGCGCTGCTGTGTGTATTGGGGCTGTCTGATGAGTGTTTGAACTATTTCTATTCAGAACGAAATTTTCTCCGATTTCGCTGTGCTGTTGAATTGCAAACCCGACCCGAACTGAGAACGCAAATGACCAAGTTTTCCTTTTCATGCAGTTGGTTGGCACGCATTTTCTTTTCGGACTCCCACTCGTGCTTGCGCTCGTGCTCGTACTCTGACTCGGACTCGGTCTCGGACTCGGACTCAAGCAGGATGGCATGGGCACGGGCATGGGCATGGCGGAGCGATGGGAGCACGAAACACCGTACACCGAACGCCGCACACCGAAAAGACTCTGGTGCGCTGCTTGCTTTTCGCTTGCATTTGCTGGTAGCTTTATTCGGAGTGAAAGCTTTGGTGTTCGTTCTCTCGCGCCAAAGCTACGCATGAAGCTTGCTGAAAGCTTCACAGCTGATTGCCGCAAAATGCATGCGGTGTTTGTTTTCCTCCTTTCTCCACTCTCTCCACCGGAACAGCTGATGGCGAACAGCCCCTGTCTTTTCGTGTGGAAAATGACGCAATGCTTTTGTAGGTGCCTCAGTGGTACAGTGGGACGAATCGGGCAAGTAAATTGTTGACAGAATGGAATGTTATTTGAAATATTAATTTTATTTTTAAATTGCAATTACAATTTGTTGTTGCTGTTCGCCTTTCCCTTCCCTTCGCTTTGGTTGTTTTGTTGTTTTATGCTAAATTGTATTTGTTTTTATTTATATTTATATATATATATATATATATATTTCACACATTTTGTTGCAAACAATATCAATAATTCTTTTAACCTAATAACAGATGCACTTTTTTGTTGTTTTATTATTCTTTTTTGTTGCTGTTGTTCCTCTTACACTTGTTTTGGGTTTCTTAGTTTTGTTTGGTTTTTTAATTTTTATATTTTTTTTAATGTTTTTTTTTTTTGTTTTTTTATGGTTCATCCCTGGCCTGACTCAGACTCAGATTTAATCGAGCTTAAAATTAAATTACAAAATACAATCATTCCAACTTAGTTACGAAGATACAAATACAAAACAAAGCGCACAATGCATTATCCAACTTAATCCTTAATCACTCGCAGAACTAATTACAATTATTACAATATAATAATATTCTGAAACGTAAAAGGAAACATACATACGAAGCAGCGGGCGGGGGTGTGGGGGGTTTGGGCTGTTTGGGGGTACAATACACAACATTACACTCTAAATTTATGTTTAATAAGTATTCGAATCGTTTATACCATAGGTTTTTGTTACTCGTAATAAACTTCTCCATTTTCCCTTTAATCAATTTGCATTTGAAGTTAAGCGCTTGCATTGGTGTATAATGTGTGTGTGTGTGGGTGTGTGTATTTGTGTTTATATATATAGAGGGGGTGTATATATATATGTACTATATATGTATGTATATATACAATATAGAAATATGTATACGTTGCATATAAAATTATTTCGGCGCAAATTTATATTCGCTGCTCATACACGATTTTAAAGCAGTTAAAATGAGTTAGTTCTTGGGTTTGGTGGTTGATTATGCTTTTGAAAGAGAGCGCGAAAATCTGGTTGATTTGGTTTTCCCATCTACTCGTAGTTTAGAGGCGTCAGTTAAGGTAAAAAGGTAGGCGTGGCATAATGCAGCATTGAGTATTAGTGGTTCGTTCTTCTCCATGGTTTTGGTATTTCTTATAAAGCAATTATCATTATTATTAATTTTATATCATTATCTTTTTCATCTCTGCGTTGCGTTTGCAGCATTTTCTTTGGTATGCAGAGCAGCGCAGAGCAGAGCAGAGCTTTTTTTTTGGGTATTTTAGAATTTTGTTTTTGGTTTTTGTTGTTTTTAGTCGTTTTTCTAGGATTATCTTCATTCCAAAAAAAAATATGATTTTTACACTTTCATATGATACAAAATTAACAATCTTGATTGGTATTTGAAATCCTTTCACATTTCATTGTTATTAAATGCTTTTATGTAAATATATAGATGGATGTACATATGTATTTATGTATGTATGCATGTATGAATGTGTGGATGATGCATGTATGTATATAGATAAACGTATGTAAATGTATATAGTAAATGTGTACGCGTTTCGTATATGTCGGGTATGCCAAGGGGAGTGGGACTTTGTTCTTGTATATGAAGGTAAATACAGGGATATATATGTAATATGTGTATAAAGATGTGTTGTATATGATATATGCATGTATGTATGTATAAATATATGTTTCGGTGAGCTTAATTTTGAATGTATGTTCTGCTTATTCGAGTAAATTTAATTTGATGAGCGATCATTAATTTGATGTACCGTACTGTACTGTACTGTACTTTAGTTAATGCTAGAAAGTAATTCCATTTCAATATTATTGCATGATTTTTTTGTTGCAGTTGCAGTTGCAGTTTTTATCTCAAGTACAATCTATCTGCTTTAAATACGTTTAAATATTTTTGTATATGTTTTTTATGCGACTTTATTTAGTATCTTTAAGCGTTTATTAACTTTTTTATAATCTTTCGTTTAGTATCTTTTCTAATCACCTTTTTAGTATCGTACCATTTCCATTTCCATGTCCGCTCTTTCGGCTTTTTATTTCCCTCTTTTGATATTGCTGTCCATACACAGTTTTGGTACAAGTATATATGTAAATCCTCATACATTTATACATACACATACTCGCACTCGTAATCGTCCCTAGAATTCCACTTTACGCACACTTCCCCCAGTATGTGGATCCCACAAATTGCTGAGTTGCCTCTACTTGGTTGTTAGTAGCTTTAAGTGGATAAATGGACGGTTTTTTTGTTTGGATTTCATTTGCTTTATGCTTTCAATTTCTTAAGTCTTTTAGTTTCAAATTATCGTATCATGTTTTATAGAAAAGAACTCTGATTCCACAAAACCAAAACTATAAGCTATGAAAACCACTCAAAAGTAAGGTAGGTATAGATTCAATGT